GGGGGGGGGGGGAGGGGGATTGGGACACATTCCCCCTCCCCCCAGTTCTCCCACGCTGCACCCCTGGGATGAACCACTGGGCTTTGATTGCAAAGTACACTAAAAGTACCGGGCCAGGTCGTGGGGCAATCAGAGCTTGGCAGCCCCTCCAGACATGCAGCGCAGGCGGCCAAGTGAGGGCACATGGCCTGACTCTTGATCTTTGCACAGGACAAGGGCGGGTGAGATCTGTGCTCTGAGCATTCCCTGCCTCTGCACCTCACTGCAGCCTTTGAAAGTGATGCTATGTGCCTCACTGCCTGGCCCACCCAGCAGTGGGATGCATGTGGTGCTGTGCTGCTTTCAAAGGCTGCAGCGAGGCACGGAGGCAGGGAGCAGGTAGGTTGCATGGACGGAAGCAGCACAGTCACGGACCAAAGCAGGGTGCTCACGGATTGCTACACTTTAGGGAGAACATTGAGTCTAATCTTTGTTGAAATCTTAGGGTCTGGGACAGAAGTTCCATAAAACTGTTTGGCCTAAATCAGTTAAGTCTAATACTACATCCAACCAGGTTTATCTTAAACCAGTTTTGGCCATTATGCAAGCATTTAAGTGCACTGAAGTTCTGTTCTGTTACAAGTTTAAACTAGTTTCTGAACATTTAACTTGGTTTGTGTGCAACTTCTATGCCTAGCCATGCTGTCAAACTACCATTGACCCTGCACCAGAAAGTGGAATAGTTGACTCCTTTCAGTACATTTTTCATTTTAATTAAATATCTCCATTGAGCTACTACTACTACCTTGAGTGTCTCTACATCACATTTGACCATTTTGTTATGCGTGCTTGCACTTGTTTAGTGTACTTTACAACAGTGTTTCTCAACTCTTTAAGTAGCAAGCACCTCCTAACTTCTGAAAATGTTAATAAGTACCCCAACACTCAGTTTTCCAGGGGATTTTATATTTACAGACTAATGTGTGCTACATGTTGGAAGAAGGGCTGTGTATATAAGGCCGTGATATGACAGATGTCTGATCTGGTGTGGGTAGGGCTGCCGCCTTTTACGCCAGGGATGCACAACTCAAGTATGTACCTGAGCTAGAGGTGGTGTTGCCCAAAGCTAGGAGGGGTGAACCCAGGCATGCCAAATAATTACTGGGGAATTTTAATGTGCGGTGCACCAAAAGTTTTGCCATAGTTTTGAGAGGAAAAGAGGGTGAGAGAGAGAGAGTGTTGGGGTACCCGCGTACCCCCTGCCTGTCTCATGTACCTCCAGGGGTACATGTACCACAGGTTGAGAAACTATGCTTTACAAGATCTTTCGTTGTGCATGTGCCTTACAGCAGGTGTTGCAAAGTTTGAGGCTCTGTGCTGCAGTCACAGGGGGTTACAGCAGAAGCATTCAAGTTGCGATCCCTGCCAGGTAACACCTGCTAATACTTGCAAATTCTGTTAACACTTCAAACCATGATTTAGCTAGTTATTTGGTGGGAGGAAACAGTCTTTATCATAATAATATTTACAGTACTTAAATAACTCCATTTAAGATTCTGGACAAGGGTGTGCAATTATTGTTATTTTTCTTTCTGAGAAATAAGTCATTAATGACATTTTTAACTTGTTATGCATCAGAGCTTGCATTACCAGGGCCCATAGACCCAACGTTTTCCAAAGGTCAAAGGAAAACCATGAAGAGAAGAAATAAATGGGATACTGCTGTCTCTCCCAAGACAGTGTGGCATGCATATCCAAAATAAGACATTCCTGCAAAGGTACAGATTTTGGCATGTCTCTCTACCTATTTTTTTAAAAGCAGTAGTATGGAGAAAAGCTGAAAAGTGTATGGAGATTCTTGTGAAGGGGTCCCATAATAGCAAGAGACTGGGAAATGGTTATGTTTAAACTTCTAAAAACACTAGGCAAATGTCTTTTTTGCAGTCTTGTAAAGCTGTGGGCTTTAGAAAGGCTGACTATATACTCTTCTGGTGAGGGCTTATTTCAAATAATGTCTGCAATAAGAACATGGGTGGCCAACCTATAGGTTGAGAGTCGCATGTAGTGACTTGGGTGGTTTAAACGAGTTCCGGGAGGCAAACTTTTAATGACAAATTATTATGTGAGCTGCAGCACTTGCTGAGCCTGAAGCATGGCCATCTCAGAAGTTTTGTGCAGCTCTGAGCTGTGCCAAGTTTGGCCAGCCCACAACAGAATTCTGTAGCACATGTGAAAAGTAATATACTTGATGGCTTTTCGCTGGTCTCAAAGTGAAATGATGGCCAACCCATCATAGTTGTTTCCCTAGCCCTTATAAAGAGAGCCCGCAAATTGTTTTGAATGGAGAAGACAGACAGTAACCATCTTTTTGCTGTGTATTGTTAGGCTGCTGCCATTATCTATCCCAGGGCTAGCTGAAAATACAGTGGCTTTCTGTAGTAGCTTACTAATTATCTACTAACACTTCTACAGTCCATGAGCTGTATAGCTGCTCCCACTTTTTTACATATTTTGAAAACATTTCCTGAAGACAAGAATTTCCATCTCAGCAGATCCAAGAAGAGACAACAGAATTGACTCACCTGTGAGATCGGTTCCTTCAGGAAAGATGAGGAGTTGTAGTGGCTCACGAATGTCACAGAAATAATCCAGCATCTTTTCAAAATGATTCTTGTCATCTTCCCATTTTCTCTGAATGAAAATAAAGGCAGCAACCTGCATTGCCCAACCTAAGAGTAAATTTAACACATTACTTACATTTGTATCCTGCCTGTTATTCAAAAATGTGTTACAGAGTGAAATTGGCATACACTTTACCTACCAATGAATTGTAAACTGCTTCCAGTTTAAAAAATGCATAGTGATTTTGTATAACTGCTTTGGACAGGAAGCCTTTTGACAGGAAGCAAAGAATGAAACATACACCTGAATCTAGAACGGAGTAAGTGTGGCAGAACTTATTTATCAGTTTCGAAAGCTGCCTAGTTTAGTGCCACTGTTCTTGAAAAAAGTGAATTCAGGTCTTTAATGTCTCATCTTTTTTGTAAAACATCCCCTACTACTTTTCTACCATGTTGACTTGTTACAGGAGAGAGTTCTAAAATTGTGGATATCTAACAATGACCTATGAAGTCACCGTGATGGTATTGCTTTTGAAATAATAACTGGAGGCATTAAATTTCTCCAAGAGCTGTGTAAGAAAGGTTTAACTGAGAATACGTGAAGACCATATAATAAAGCATTGCCAGTTAAGGTTTATGTAGAAATTCTACTTTATGTAGAATTATATTAAAAAAATATTTTAAACCCATACTATACAGAAAGTATTTATTTAACAATTACATATGAAATCAGCACTAAAAAGTTTGATGTCTGTAATGTCAATACATCTTGAATAAATCATAATATTAAGTAGTATGTCCTTAGCTTATGGGCACTAATTTCACATAGAGCTTTCTTCATGGGCATGCAAATCCTGGTACAACTGTTGGGATTTATGCCTTAACATCAAGAAGGTTGTATGTCCTGACTTAAAAAAAAGGGAACTCATTCAGTACATACCATTCTCTTTCAAGCCATTTCTGACTTTGGTTGGAATCATTTACTATATACACCATTTCTCTGTGCTTCCTTTTGGCTGTGCTGTTGTCTAATGAAATAGACAATAGAACCATGAATCAACTCCTGGATTTTACACCCTGCTCTACCATTCTCTCTAGGACATTAAGCATGTCACAATTTACACAAGTAACATGGATACTGCTTGTTAGTATATGCAACCAAATATTTGAAGACCTCCATTCAGCATCTCACAAGCTCAGTTCAATATACATCCTGCATCTTTATACATCTTTGAGATGATCTCCTGCATTGCCTCTCTTCTGCTACCAACACCAGCAGCTTTGTCTTAGATTCTGGATGGAGCCCGGCTGGGTCAGGGAGCTGGTAAAACTCAAGGGAGTCTCCCACCTCTAACTTGTTACCCAAGGCATGCTGGTAGCAACCAAAATTTTTATCTGGAAGTTTTCCTTAAAATGAAATGGGTGGTTTCCTTCCAGTTCACAAAGACAAGATATACAAGATAACCATAGGTCACTGGCACAATTGGAACAAGCTTGGATGGTCACAGACTTCAAAATACTTTGTCCAAGCTCACATGCATCTACACTGCCCAAGCTAGCCCTAAAATATGATAGTTCTAGTACCAGAAGCTGTCCAACCACAGTATCCCGGAGGTCCTAAAAAGCAGAGCAGAAAAACTAGTGAGAAGCTCCTTATAAAAGCAGCTACTCTACTTCCGGTAGCCAAGTACCTCTGCACCAACACTGTGGTCTACAGTGAGCATGTCCTAAATGTCCATTCTATCCTTTCAGTGGCATGACTAAAGATACACAAGAGCAACAGCTTTCCAAAGAATGAAAAGCAATCAGATTTTCACTGCCAAGGAGAACATTTTGCAATTAGAACAGATACCAGGTTACATGGATAAGAAATTCCCGATAGCACACTTTGCCAAACTTGCTAACATCTAAATTAGTTGAACTCTTGAGGGGCAGAATCAGAATATTCTATGTACAAAATAAAAGCATTCATGAGAAACCTCAGAGATTGATTTTACCAAAAACAAAGAAGAAACATTATAGAACTTCCATCTGTTATTTGTCATACTAGGTTTCAAATTTAGTGAATAGCCTTGCTGGTGACTTGCAATGATATCATTTTGCCACCTTCATTAACAGTTTCTCATTTTATTCTAATTTGTGTCCTCTCCTTTTGCCTCATAAATGGGGTCTTCCTTCCACTTTGTCTAGATAACATCTTTCATTAAGACAAAGTGCATATACACAATACAGTTGACAACCATTAAGTTTAACCCATCTTTTATAAGCTATTTTTTTAAATGTAACATTGTCAGGCACCTAATCAGACTAAGCATCGGAATGTTGAAGGACAGGTAGGTTATCAACCTTACTTGGTTAATCTTGCCTATATTAGCTAGGCATGTTAATAGTGTTTTTAAATATTTATCATCTACAGCGTAGAATAAATACTCATTTTGCATAGCTTTCAAGCAGTCAAATGGAGCACCTTTAGGTAAGGGATCTCTGCAATCTGGACCTGACTGAACTTGAGAACAAGAAATGCCTGTATTGCAAAGAACTGAACACTGAAAAGATTATACTTGGTAAGAGATGAACTATTCAGAATAGTGTATTAACAAACATCTTCATTAAATTTCATAAGTTGGATTTATGAAGAAAAAAGTCCTTATTCAATCCTTTGTTTCTTTTACAAGGTAACACAACGTTGACTTGAAAAATGTAAAATGCATCCATTGCTGTCTAGCACTTCCATCACTGTGACATCAAAGCAATAAGAAGCCTCACTGTAACTTGATAACGCTAATTCTGCCATTCTCTTGGAGATGGTATTGTTTAGGGGACCATTCTGGGGAGTAAGTAAAAGGATTTTTTTTTTTAATAAAATAAATAAAATAAAGATTTTTTAAATAAAGATTTTTGTGCCCAAACTTCATCTCTTGACCATGCTTAAATGAAGCTGCAAATTTAAATTACAGCTTAATTTTAGTACTGGCCTTTCATTACAGCAATGTTAAAACATGGCATAAATATTTTTGGCAAACTATTCAGAGCTTAGTTTTTCTACTGACCTTGTGCAAGGTTCAAAAGCCTATTTTCTCTCTCAAGCTGGCCGAAAGCTATTCCATTTGTTGTTCTATAAAACATCACATTTGAACTCCGTAATCTGTATAAATGAGTTTACTGCAACTACAAGGATTTACTTGACAAAATGGGGTGGGGGGTGAAGAAGGCTTTCTATTTTTAAAAAAATGTATTATCTGATAGATCATACATCAAAGAAACCAGTGCTGAAACTGGACTTTCTTTGTGCAGCAGAGGGAAAAAACTAATTGGTATTGCTTTTAAAAATGTCAAATTTAACTTGCATTATTACACTTTTTTGTCATGGGCCAGCACAATAGCTAACATTTTCTGCATGATTTGGCTTTGACAAAATGTGGCAGCAAAGGAAGAACACTCCTACAGGATGGGAAAACTTTTAAGTTGTGCCTTGTCTTTTATAGGTCATCATTGCTTACATGGGAAGAGTTTCAAATTTCTCCGGAGTTCTTCAGAAAGAACTTCACAAAGGAAAGAAAACACAAGTAAAAGTTGGAATGCAAGTAAAATGAATACTATTTACAGCCTTTGACAAGGCAACTGTCTCGGATGGATTTATTCTGAGTATACACCCTGGTTTTTGTCCTGTCCTCGGTGGTCTGTCAGTACATTCAAACAAATGCTTGTGTCCCATTTTCAGAGGGATACCCAGGGCAAGAAGACTGTCCCAATAAAAACAGGGCTGTCCCCTGCCCCCATCTCCTCTGCCCACTCAGCTGAGACTGAGTATGTCAGAGAGTTGGGGTAGAGTGGAGTGTCCCATTTTGTGACCAGGGAAATATGGTCACTTTGGATGGATTAGGAAAAAAAAACAAACATATTTTTTGCATATACCATATCTCCAAATATAATACAAGCCTTGTTTTTAAGAGGCAGGGTGAACAGAAAATATTCCTTGAAGAAACTGAGTAACAGCAGGTAGGGAGGGAAGCTGCCCCTAAATCTGCTGCCAGCCCCATAGGCCAGATAGGGTCCTGCCAACCAGCCCCTGAGGCATGCTGAGTCCATGCCCATGCAAGGTCCAGGATCCAACATCTAGAGCCACATGTTGACTCTAACCTGATGCACCAAGTCTGACCCACGCTGTGCACCAAGTCCAGATCCACAAGCTGGCTCCACCCATGCGCCACACCCTGGCTCTGGAACCCAGCACACCAGCCTACTCAGGTGCATGGCACCATGTCATCTGGCCAAGGGGTGCCCCATAGGTCCAGATATTTGCTAGTGGGGAAGTGGTGGCAATGCTAATTGGTGACTTCTGGCTATTACAGAAAGACATGAAATCAGTTTGTTAGATCTAAATTCTGCTGCTCTTGAGTTTGAGGGTGGGAGAGGAGACAGAGGCAAAAAAGTGCCTACTTGGAAGCCCAGTGATAGTGTGCTGACCCAGCAACATGCTGGAAGAATATGATCTCTGGTCACCCCCGCAGCAAGAGAACAGAGGACATCTGACACCAGATTCTACCTTCCTTGCTTCCCCTCCAGGCAGCTTCAGTCCTGAAAATTATATGGTGGGTAACTATGCCTGTAAATTGCACCATAATGTCTTCTCAGCAATCTTTCTTTTAAAGAATCTCCAGCATGAATCTACACCACCGATGGCTTTTGTCACTAGTGAAAGTTTATACTGTATACTGTGTGTCACTTGGTCTAAGTCACTGAGTTAACAAACCCTTGAAGTTAAAAAAAATGAGCAACTTAAGCAAGTACATTTCCCTATTTAAATTGCACTGAAGCTGCCTACAGTATTTCATTTCTATCCTAAACAGCAATAAACTTGAACAACAATTCTGTTCCTTTGTATTAATTCAAGTCACTATATATGTGGCATTTAGTACTTCCATCAGATTCCTGAGTACCTGTGCTGACATGAGAGGGTCTTAAGCCTTTGCCTGGAGTTAAGATCTGACTCTGCCATCACATCATGAAGAACATAAAGAAATCTGCCATGGTTTATATAAACAGTCTATTTACGTTTAGGTAGATCTGCCTTTAAAAACAGAGAAGAGAGGGGGTGAGGGGGGCAG